CTTCATCTCCTCCACTCCCTTCGTCAAATCCCTATGCACAACTCTAACCTCCCAACTATCATCCTCACTCCACTTTACCTTCCCCAACTGCTCCGCAAAAGCCACGCTTCTGTGATGACCACTCCCACACAGACACCCCACTCGTACTATTGCCACTTCGTCTTCCCTACTAGCTCTTACATCCTTGATTTCCATGAGCCGTTTGATATCCTCTTGGGCGCGGGCCACTGTATCACTGAAAGACTCGCGTTGCATCAGCTCGTCTTGCAGCGTCGAGTCGAGCCCCGTGCATGTCTTTCGTATTTGGCGGGATGGGTTTTCTGTTACGCGGCAGTCGTATTCTAGGTCTGGTTTTGGGGATGGTGGTGTGAAGCGGTCGTAGGAAGTGATTTCAAGAATTGGCCGTTGTCTTTTTTGGGTTTGAGAGGGAGCTGAATCTTGATTGTTTTCTTTAGCCGCGGATAGTTCATCTTCGGTGGGTGGAACGAGTCGTGTGTTTTTGACTTTTGAGGCGATGTCTGACAGTATGGCCATGTTGTTGATGATGGGGTGACTGGAGACGGGAGCGACACCGAAATTGCGGTCAATGTCGTTGGCGAAAGATGTGTAGATAAGACGGTTCTTCTATGGACAATTGCGTATATGGATATAACGGAAAAGATTGTAGAGTACAAGGCTTCGCGTCCTGTTTTGGTGACGCTCGTTTAGGTAAGAGGTCGCGTGCTCGCTGCCCAGGTGCGGACAGGTTCAGGGTCTTCTGAAAACTCCTGCTCCATTGGCGCATGCATATGACGTTGAGCGCTGTGGATCCACGGACAGACCCGCGAGTGCCGTGCAAGGTGCGTCATCGCTAGACACAGCCGCATCAGATGTCGCGATGATTCGCTAATACTTGTACAGGCCTTTTTTGTCTGTTGGTTTGTCTGCAGCCACGCTAAGTGGTTGCTGTTCCATCTGGCTGAGCGTCTTTTTGAGAGACGAATTGGACTCTTAATGCACGTAGTGAACGACCGCCGTATCAATTGCATGGCTAGTCTACATTAAAAAGGGCTGGGTAACCATCAGAAATGAAAATGCAGTGTGTAGACGTTTGAATTCATGTGTGCAAGACATGCCCAAGTGCTGATCACAACACACTCCGTCGACATCTTGCTCGCCCGGCTTCATCTCCTATGCAACTTCTTTCTTCCAATGAACTCACATGCCCAAGATCATTTGTATGCAACACACGTTACTTCGTGGGCAGGTCATTCGCGAAATCCTCCACCGACTGCACTCCTGCCCCGCCGTAACCCAGGTGGTGTAGTCGTTGATCCATGCGCGCGTCGGTTTCCTGGCCCCGGCTTAACCCAGTTGTGTCCAATGACTTCCTCGTCGAGAGAGTTTCCTGCCGACTGCGGCGCATATCTTGAGAGACCTTTTTCGGCGACTTTGTAGCCTTGTTCCTTGCCTGAAGGAGTCGGGTGGAGCTGCTCGTCGGACAAGGGACCTTCCGCAGTGCGTTGGACATGGTTTGCTACGAAGCCGGGGGCGGACTGAGTTTCGTCATGATACATCGGTGGATGCTGTACGGCAGTGGAAAAATGTAACTTCAGTCGTCGAGCACATGACTCGAACGTTGGCTTGTCGGCGGACTGAACTTCGTCATGAGACATCGGTGGATTCCGTACGGTAGTTGGAGCATGTGAGTTTACTCGTCGAACAAATGACTCGAACGTTGGCTTGTCGTCGGGTGGCGTTTGGCCTTGTGACGGAACGACCTCGTCTTCGTAGTAGAGACCATCTGTTTTGTTGAAGAGAGCACCTGGGGGTGCCAGTTCGGGAATGTCCGCCCGCCAGTTTATGATGGTTGAAAGGGAAACGACTGTGATTTTGCACGCCACGGCGGATGGCGTAGTAGCATAGCGATACTTCACTATCCTTCCCGGTGAATCTACCCGGTATTCGCGGTAGAAGGCCTCCATAGGTATATCAATGGAAACAGGGTCGTAGGGGATGAAGTTGATAGACGGCCTTGGTGGTATCTGCTGACTGGGCAGATACTCCGATGGATCGCAAAGTGAGGGCATTTTCGGATTGGCGCAACAGTACGCTGCTGTGTTTTGTGATAAGAAGAGAACTGTAAACGAACACCGCCTCCGTTGAGACTAAAGAATGTAAAAGCAGTATAATGTGGTCGTCAAGCGTGTTGGGTTACAAGCGCAAAAGGCTTGATGTGCATTCTTTACTACTCAATTTAGCAGGGCCCAAAAACGAGAAGGTGAGAACGTACCATAGATGACGTTTGGTGATGAGGGCTGTGACTGCCATGTAGACCCACCAGCTATCAGAGTGCACCTTCCTCCCGGTCTTTGATCTCGGACAACACACTCTTGTCGATGTCATGCTCCGCCAAATGTTCGACTGCGGCTTCAGTTGACAGTCGTTTGCCTTCCTTCAGCGGGTCAAGTCCTTTCTTCAGCTTGATCCGCCGCTCGAGCTCTTCGATCCAGTAGGCTTCAAGTTGACCGCGACGCCTGTCGGACACGAACTGCTCATCCTCGTCTTGCCGGAACGCCTTACAGAATGCATCGCAGAAGGGTCGTGATTCACACGTCCACTCGAAGATCTTGAAGCAGTCCATGCAGATCCTCGGATCGTTGGTAATGTAGGGTTGCAGGACTCCGGGCACATAGATGATGTACGGCATCGTGACTGTCCTAGGAGCGGTATTGGTGGCTGTAATTAGTAGGTGTAGCTTTGTCAGTGAGATACTTGCGGCCTTTTGGTTGTTAAAAGGTAACCGAAGAACAATGTAATTAGTGATTTGCTAAAGTGAGAGTACTATCAATGAGAACACCGAAGATCGGAAACTACGTGTTGGCGTTGAGTGAGTCTGGCTCTTCAGGTAATGTGCAGTCACAGCGGAGGGTGAGTTTGGTCAACGTATCGTAACATAGCAGGCCATCGTCATCGTTACAGGTGGGTGGTATCCGACGCTTGCAAATTCCGTAGCCAACGGAGCATTACACAAACCGCTTCATACCAAAGGAGTGAAGGCGATGGTGGATGGATCCTTGCCATGGTGTTGAAGTGGGTAAAAGCAGTCGTCTGACAGTCTCTGAAGTCCATCGCAGCAAAGTGTGAGATGAATACAGTTGGACTCATGCAGCAGTGTAAAGTCATGGCAAGAGTGATTTGGCGCGTCGAAGGGTGAACGCCTGGGGAGGGATGACAAGCTAGCCCCCGAATCTTGGCGAATGACTCAATCGCGAAGCACCCCTCCAAAATGTCGCAGGCCAAAAAGTTGACGAGAACGACACGCTGCAACCAACCGCCAAGATGAGCACCGAATCAGGAGTCAAGCCACAGTCGACGTTCGACATCGTAGCGACATACCGCCGCATCCTCAAAGATGACCCGGAACTCACCATGCCCGTCGCGGCCATCGAGGCGCTCGTAGAAGCCATCGCGCAGAGCTCCGTCTCGACCGTCGCCGAGACACTCGACCTGCTCGAACGCCACACCGCCGCCCTCAAGGCCTCCATCGCGAACCCAATTTCCCTGTCCGCCGGCACAGATCTCTTCCAGCGCTACCTCATCACCACCCTCAACCGCCCGGCGAGCCTGAACCTCGGCCCCGACGACGACTTCCGCGCGATACGCAACCACCTCCTCTCCAACGGCAAACTGTTTGTGGACCGTGCGAAACAGAGCAGGGAGAAGATCGCGAGTTTCGGCAAGCACTTCATCCGCGACGGCGGCACGGTGCTCACAAATGGTGGATCGCGAGTAGTGGGTGCGCTACTGCGAACGGCCGCCGAGTCGAGCACTCTCCGGTTCAAGGTCATATACGTCTTACCCTCGTCAAGCTCGTCAGATGCGAAAGAGGGCCTCCAGACTGTTGCCGACCTCCGAGAGCACAATGTACCAGTCGCCACAATTCCAGATTCGGCCGTCGCCTACTCACTGGGTAAAGTCGACATGGTCATTGTCGGAGCTGAAGGCGTCGTCGAGAACGGTGGCATCATATCGCGCATGGGCACGTACCAGTTGGGCGTACTGGCTAAGAGCAAAGGAAAGCCCTTCTACGTGGTCGCCGAGAGCCACAAGTTCGTTAGGCTTTATCCACTCAGCCAGTTCGATCTGCCCATTGAGCAGAAGGTACTCGACTTCAAGGTCGCAGAAGAACACAAGGCGGAACACAAGCCCAAGAGCGACGAAGAGCAACGGAATGTCTTTGACGAAGCCATCGCAGACATGACTGCGAAGCAGAGATCGACCGTCGTTCCGCTCGACGCTCATGACGCTGTCGACTTTACGGTACGCTCTGCTTACTTCAATTATGACTCCATCCGCTAACCTGAACTAGCCACCCGACCTGATCTCCGGCATCATCACCGAATCTGGCGTTCTCACTCCGTCTGCCGTGTCAGAGGAGCTGATCAAGATATGGTTTTGAGCCCTCCCTGAGCATCAACTCCTCACCCTACACCAAATACACAAACTTCATCGCGACGCACACGCCGGACATACACGCGTTTGATGGATGCTCACATCCGTGATAGGAATTATGTAGAAAGCGAATCTGTGACTCTACAGCCTTCGCGCCTACGCCGTAGCCGGCGCGTCACGTCCTGAGACTGCGAACCGCGCGTTACAGGATATGGTACCTCAAAATCTCGCTTCAGAGCGTCTGGAAGCTGGCTCTATCGCACAAGAGGACTGAAGAACGAGGGAACGGCCAACGATAACGACGTCCCGTGGAATGGTGTTGCGCCGACGATAACAACATATGATACCCAATAGACATATTCAATGGCAACATGTCTTTGACCTGTTGCACATTCAAGGGTCAGACTCTTTGGCAATGACATATCTAGAGTGTGAAAATACTGAGCGTGAAGTATGGGAAAATATTGACATCAGTAGCCAGTTACCTCGAAGATGAATGCACGCGACAGCGTACAAAGCCTCATAACATCTGCTAATTTCTCACCACCACACGACGCTTGCAAAAAATGCCATATCTAGTCCAACCACCCGCGCAATCATCCGAAGCTTGCGACCCGCTGTTCACCTACGTGCTTGACGACCCCATCCCCTCCGAAATACGTATACTCAAGGACCTTAAGGAACGGGGCTGGGAAGTCTCCGTGCATTTCCACGACGATGTGGTTTATCTAAATGCTACAAAAGAGATCGGAAAGGCGATAAAAACGATACGACGCAGGACGCAGATAATACATGGGGATATGGTTGGGGACAGTCCCAGGTTGACTCTCGAGGAAATGTGGCAGAGGGAGATGACCAGCAAGTCGGAACAAGAACTCTACACTAACAAAGAGAAGGAGGAAGTCAACGATGCAGCAAGCATGCTGTCGCGGATGACAGAACAAAGAGCTTGGGTGCGTTGGGCTGATGAGGAGGGTGGGTTGGAGCCGGAGACCCCTAACGTAAGCGATCCTCTGATATAGAAATATCAGGAAGACCAAAATATGCAACTGATGAACCCAGACAGGTAGTGCAAGACATCGATAAACAGTCCTACCTGTCGCACTCTCTGAGTTTAGAAGACTATGAGGACTCAGTCATCGACGTTTACGAAGGGCCTGCTGGCAGCCCCAGTACGAACATACATACTTACAACGCATCTCGTTTTATTGAAGAACATGAACCCGACTGGCATACATTTGTACCACGTCACTCTGCCCAACGCGCTGCGCATCAGCCTGCAGGTCAGGCAGCCTCATCATTCTCTATGCCTTCTACAACCTCTTCTTTTTCAGAAGCCCCAGTCGGTCTTATTGGTATGTTCGGATACTGGTGTCCACCCGTTCTTCATGCCCGGCCGCAAAAGAACTCTCGATCTCAATCCATCGCACCAAGCGCTGTGCTTCCATCACGAGACTCGAAGGAGACTCGGAAGCTCAAGAAGAAAGTTACCCGCCGTGACTCAGAACCCTCGTTAAGAAAGTACTTGCCGCTTGGATTTGTCGGGCCCCTGTCTTGGGTGAAAGGAAAACGAAGCGCGAATGAAGGGGCCAGTGCAGATGCAACCGCACCAGATGAGCAACAAACCACCGCTCGATCAGAGAGTTCCTTTGGCCCTTATCAACGCACCACTCCCACGCAATCTGTTCCAAACATTCACCTGCAAGAGTATTCCTCCACTTTTCTTCAACCTGAACCACGTAACACATCACCCGCCTTTTCTACTACCTCCAGTCTCATATTCCCTGGCCGTGAGATAACCCCAGAAGCCTACTTCCAGCGCACGAACCGACCCCGGAAGAATCTACAGCCACGCCAGCTTACACCACCCCCGGGACTGGAAAACGACCCCTACATGTGGCAAGTGTGGGACCGCGGCCGTAAAAGGCAGCAAGACAAGACTGATCGTGTGCTGGGCAAAGACAGCATGCATAGATCAGATAGTGGCAATGCTAGTTGGTATGATGGGTTCCAGACGATGATGAAGGAGGCGGAAGCAAAGGTGACTAAGGAAGAAAAGAAGGCCGAGAAGAAGGCGAGGAAGGTGAAGAAGAAAGAGGAGAAGGAAGAGCGATTACGCAAGGAGAATAGGGAGAAGGAAGAGCGGATACGCAAAGAGAATGAGGTGAGGGAGGCTTTGAGGAAAAAGGGTGATTTCGCAGGTGGGTACTTGCCACGGTATGCATGACCGCTTCTACTTACGTGCATGATGTAGGCATAATGAATACCTGGGCAAGTTAATGCTCGCGGGCGGTAGGATAACGTCGTCGCGGTGGTTGTTACCGACTCGGGAGGTCTTGATCGAGATCAGGAAGGAGTGCAATACCTAGGACGACATTTTGAAAGCCTTCGCATCTACGAAGGCTTCTTCATTTGTTCTGTCTCATGTATATGTGGATATTCAATGTACAAGACTTATCCCAAGAGCAAAGTCCAGTCAGCAAAACAGTCTCATCTAACCAGCTCGTAAGAAGCTAGCGCAGTTGTTGCCTTGGACCTAAGCGATCCTTCGAATATACCCGAGCAAGTATAAAAGCTGCGCGTGCCGTCAATCTACGAATTGACTGACCCCGCACCCTTTTTTCCAATACAATCTCGTGTTGAAACGCAATGATCCAGCTGCCCGAAGACATACTACGAGACCTCGTTATAACAACGGACGGCCAAGCCGAGGAGCCGTATTCCTACCACAATTGGGGCTACACGATCTACCGCACATGCCACACGCCAGAATCTGAATTGCAATGGGAATCTCTAATCGAAGCCATCCAGCTAGGAGTCGAAGAATCCCTCCCTGCGTCGCAAAACGATGAGCCACCGACAACACCTCAACTCCTACGCTCCCTCTTACGTCTAGACTTCCGCTCCGATGCTTCCCTGTACAATGGTCTTACTATCGAACAGCTTCGCCAGACCTATCTCAATCCAGCGGAAGATTATGCCCCCCCATCACCGAACTTCTACAGAAGCGATCGTCTCTTCCTTGTCGCTGACGCTGAAGTTTTGCTGGATCCCTACTTTCTGCCGAAAGAGAATGAGACAACGAACGTACCCGTTGACAACAACACAAGCGACGTTGCAACCACGCAGAGTGTGCAGAAATGGAAATATCAATATCACGGCTACAGCAAATCCTCTGGTACCAAGCGACGATGGCTCAAGTGTGTCGAGGTGGACTACGTTGCTGCGGATCATCATCCAAGGAGAAGAGGGCAGGGCCCACGGCCGTATTTTGGCTGGTTCATGGTGACGGCGGAAAGTGTGATGGAGCTTTGGGAGGTGTTGCTTGATCAGGATGTCGAGGAGATTAAACCTAGGTTGGTTGATGTGATGATTTGTAAGTGCATCGTGTTCGATCCGTGTGTTATTGATGAACAGGTATGCTAATGGTTGGATAGGGGGAGGGTATTGAGTTAAACAGGGTTTCAGCCTACATTAAGTTGAAATCATGCACGTTAGGTGATCTGACGTTAAAGTAGGCTCCTGGCTTGATGGAAAGCTGAGCTCAAGATGGAAGGTCTTCTGTCACATTGCGGCTCTGTTGGACTCTACGCCATCAATGTTGATATATTTAGGTTGCTGATAGTTATGGAAAGTATCGGAGGCAAGAATGAGGAGAGAATGTATCTATTCCTATGGCCGGCTATCGAACATAACTAAGTCCATACGATTCAGTGTTTGGCATCCTTTCTACATGAGGTCATGTTTGGGCTGATCTACATATATAACCCTCTAGGAGCAATACTTTGCGCCTTCGCCAGGCTTAACGATACCCATATCGATAAAAGCCGAGTAATTCCAATAATCTCCTTGTACTCCCTCGCCAGCTACCGGCACATTTCCGGAAAACTTCGCGGTCCAGTAAGCACTACCCCTAGTGTACTTTGCAAAGGCGTACAGCCCGGTGTTCAGGTTCTTCTGACGATTTGCAAATTTGTTATCCGCCACCGTCTCAATCGACCATTCACCGATGAACACAGGAAACTTGCCATCTCCTGCCGATGCCTTGGCATCGGAGCAGATGTCTGCGCTCACGGTATCGGAGTCTGTTGGGCGGCCAGCGAAGTAATAGTTGTGTACGTCGAAGACGAGATTGGTGGATGCTGGGAACTTGGGAGACCAGAACGCTTCACCTCTGAAGCTGCCTTGGAACATGACAGGTATGTTCTTATTCACGGCTACTGTCTTCGCAATAGCCGCGTCAATGTACTTCTGTACCCATGCGACACCGTTGTCCGTCAACGCGGCTGGTGTGCCGAAGGTTGTGATATCGCGATTGTCCACCGGTTCGTTGATCGGCTCCAGGGTGTATGATTGCGGAGTTCCAGAGGATTGAATAAAGGCCAGTGCAGCATCGACAGCGCGTAGGGAATAGTCGAGGTTCGTGGCGTTATTGAACCAACCGAAGCGGCCTTCGCCTTCACCAAAGCCCATACCGTTCACTCCACCAGGAAGGGAGTGAATATCGAGGATGATGTGCATGCCCTACTTTGCGATTGCGTAAGATGCGATATTCTTGAAGAACCGAGTTTGGCCGCCGCTGTAGAAGTTACTGCCAGGAACCTTGACCCATGCAGCGTAGGTTGTGGGGATCCTCAAGACGTTCACACCAGCAGTGGCTAGCTTGTCGATATCGGCGGGTGTTATGAACGTAGCATAGCGACGCTCTAGTACAGGGCCACATTGCGATCCCAGTTTGGCACAGCAGGTCCACTCATCAGTCGTGGTACCGCAGTTCTGCGACCACCAGGCTGGGTCAATAACGGCTTCTTGGGCAAGCCATCCACCAAGGTTGATGCCGTTGGCTTTAAAGGTCTTCCAGTTGAGGTAGGTGGGTGCCTGGCGCTCTGTTGGACTGGCAGTGGTAACAGATGAGATGGAGAGGAGGAATGCGACGATGGTGTTGAAGGCGATCATGGTTGATGTTGCGGTGTCTGCGTTCCTGGCTGAGGTTGGACACTGTTGTTCATGTTGTTACTGGTCTTTATAGCTCATCAGTACACCCATTGTTGGCCTCTCTGTCCAGCACAATATGCACCACGACCTCGGGTCAGGGCGACGTTGAAAGTCGAGCGTAAGATGTGGAGCCGGTCGACCTAGCTACCTAGGGTTAAGAGCCAAGATGTTGATATGATCAGGCATAGCTATCCTCAAGCCGCTTCAAGACATAGCGTCGTTGATGGCTGTATTACTGACGAGGTGTTTACCCCAGGTTCCACCCCGGACTTGACCCCAGACTTGACCCCAGACTTGGCGCCGTCTTGTGGGTGCATAATAGTACCTTAGGTCTTCTAGAAGAATTAACCCGAGCTGCGACTACATGGTCAGTTACTATCCGCATGGGTCGCATTGTCCCGAGCGACCTGGGCTCCACGTCGGGTGGTGTGAACGCTACGTGGCCCACATCCCGAGGTGTGTAACAGCTTCGTTCTGTTTGCGTACCAAGGGGAGGCTTCCGTCTTTGACGATGACACAAATGACAGCAAGATATCGTCTTGGGGTGCGATGACACGCGCGTAGACGACAGTTGATCTAGGGAAGTAATTACGCGATAGCCATTCGTCGTTGCCTAATCAGTCCTGTGCTCGCGGCGCGCCCATTGGCCAGGTATCGGCGCCCAAGAGGAACGAGAATGCTCATGATACTACCGTTGTATCGCAAGTGCTCTGCCAGCGCTGTAGGTTGTGACATCAGGGAGTTGACGGACTAAAGTTCGTCCATAATAACGAGATGAGTGTCTTGGTGAGCCGTCCGTGCGTTCCAAGGTTGTCTGGGTCGCTCAACCAGCCAGCAGCCACTCTAGCCCTTCACATTTTCACCCTCTTCGTTATATCGATGCTGATGGCTTGTATGTCATTTACATCCTCTGAAGCTCCAATTGCACAAGAAAAGCCCTCGATAATCAAAGCAAAGCCATAGGATGTGACCTCGCGGCTTCCAAGGTTGTCTGTCGAGCGTCGAGAGTACAACTCACACAGCGAATTCATCAACGCGACGGGCAAGGCCGAGAAACGAATGCTTCACATCCTTGGGGAACTGAAAAGATTCCAGTTAACTCACAAGATCCACTTTAGTTATCAACAATGCATCCAACGCACTGCCTTGGAATACTTGCCTGGTGACTGCATCCAGCGCAAGCCTACCTAAGGGTTCGTGGGAAGACGATACCCATATGCCCTTTCTAAGTGCGAGAGAAGAACGATCCACGCGACGCTCTTATTCTGCATCCGTACTAAATTTGATCTACAGATCTACTACTATGGGAAACCAAGCTTCGTCAGCACTCGGTCTTGTACGCCCAACTGCAGTCGCGCTGCCGACACAATTACAGCTGACCGGGCAGATCAGTAAAAGGACGCACCGTTGCTCGAATAACGATCATAGTACGGAGTCGGCACGACGATCGCGCACTGTCTCGAAGAGTCTCCCTGTCGATCTTCAGAAACACAGCTTGCTTAGCATTCCACCGGAGTTGCGCAACTGCATTTACGCCCATCTACTCAAACCCGAAGACTGCATCGTACTATCTCCTATGATACATACGAAAATTACGGGCATTGCATTACTGAGAACATGTACGCAACTTCACGATGAAGCTGCTAGCTTCTTCTACGCAAAGAATTCGTTTCAGTTTTACATTCGTAAGAGCGTCTTAGCACAGTCAACGTCGACAGCGAACATTCAATTGCCTCACATAACGTCTCCCATCTCACCAAAGTTCTTCCGCGACCCACTAGCCATGCAAGGCGGTATCTTCTTTCCCGCGCCGCGGTACCATCGGTATCTCACACGGCTAACCATCTACTTCAAGGTATCCATACGCGACCTAGCTTTCCCAGACCCGGAAAAGGGCGAATGGGGAGACGCACCTCGGGCAGACTTGGACATGAATCAGTACATTCGCCGACCTTGCGATAATACCGCCATCACACCCGCGGATATGGGAAAGATACAACAAGCGAGCCAACATGAAGTGTTTCGTGTGTATCAAAAGATGAAAAGGCTCTGGTTAGAAAAGGAAGGTACGTGGGCAGGTAAAGTGACGATGCCAGCAAGGTCCACGGCAACGGATGACTTAGAGTTTTGGATTGAGCTTACGGCTGATGAACACGTCACTCACGAAGGATAACATGGGGGGTGGAGACGAACACAGGGAGATGATCTGTCATATGACTATGCATTGAAGCGCTGGTGGCCGTGTAAAAGAAAGCACATGTTCTCCCAAGTTGTCTTAGTTCAGTTAGAAGCTCGTTCTGGATGAGTTTACTTCATGTTTTCCACCTACGTTGATTGGAAGTTTTGTGAACATCTCCAGAGTACGTTAAGTCTATATCTACAATGGTGCAGGGAAGGTGTCCTTGGATGCTGTCAACGTATTGTCATCTGCTGGCTCGGCAACATTACTACTCTTCCTCGTCATCGTGATGCACATAATACACGACACGTCTCACATGCACACCGGAAATAAGAGATATGCAAGAAAGAGAACATCACTTCTACTTGCTTTTACTGTCCCAAAGTCAATGCATGCAGAGCACACGCACGCACACCGCAATTCACAATTCACATCCTCATGCAGCATAGAAAAGATCAAGTGACCAAAAGTACCACAAAAGATTTAGTTAATAGACATTAAGTAACCAAGACTACCGATCGATCCATCCCAATCCCCACGCCAAGCCAACGCGTGCCTGCCTGCCCTATCCATCTCCGATCGGCACCTCCCCAAGCTTCCTTCCAACTCCAGCCAAGCCAAAGATCCTCTCCTTGCTTGCCGTGTTCCCCACACGCCAACTCCACGCAATGTGAAAGTTTTCTCCGGTGGCATCTCGGCACCAACGGCACCGATTGTCGTCATTTCGGATGAAATGTTACGATTGCAGTGAGGGTATGGGGGGCGATGATGTCAGTCCTCCCTGAGTTTGACTCGTGGGGGATTCGAGGCTGCGACTAGGCTGCTTGGCAACGACGTCCGCTGCTAGCTAGTTCCGCCTTGCTGGACTGCAGACCAGTGCAAGGCTTGCCGTCATTTCTTCGTCTTTCGTGCGTCGCCTTGGTGTATGAGCTTATTACTCGTCGGTGTCGTCGACGCTCTCCATGCTTGGCGATGGTGACGAGTCGCGGACGTATCGTGAAGAGAGGGTTGGGCTCGCGATGGGCTGCTGGGCAATGGAGATTTGGCCCTCGGCTTCGACGTCCTCGATGGGGATCCTGAGCATCTGTCCGCCAACGAGGTTGGGGACGTAGACGTATTGAGTTGCGGGCGAAGACATGGTTGTTGGTAGGATGGGTTGCATGCGAGGTGTATGATTGTAGTCGTAAAGTGGTAGTGTCTGATAGACTAGAGTAGATGATAATTTGAAGTATTTGGTATCTGGGGGTCTGATACAGGAAATCTGCGATGTTGTGTTTCTCCCTTCATGTGGGGATACCGCCTGCCTATATACTGTCGCAGAATCCCACGGCTCACCTGAGAATGCCATTGCTCATGCGGCATCCCAAACCCCAACTCCACCCATGCACCCACCCAGGCCACCAACCCAAAACCCTATCCCCGACACCCAAGCATCGCATGGCCCACCCGTCACTCCCGCAGCCAATTATAGCACGCTATCACACAAGGGTGCCTTAACGCCAGCTCCGCCGTGTCAGCCCAAGGCGCTGATTCGGCCTACGATATGCGCAACGCGTGGCAAGTCTCCCCGAGCAGCTTACCATGCCGCTCCGTTGTGTCCGACGAGCGGCGATAAGTGGTCGATACGTGCGTCGACAAGGAAGCCCCGCACCAATTTCCTCTCCGCCAGCCGGCCAAGCAGCGCGTAGGCGGCGCTACTAGTAGTTAGCCAGACGAAGACGCCTTGCCCGCGGGGTCTAGACCATGCGATGGTTATCGTTGTGTAATTCTAGCCAGGCGCATGATGCATGGTGTTGAAGTGGAGGGTGATAAGGAATTAGGTATTGTGAGGGACGCTGAGTTTCGGAAGATCGGCGTTCACTGATCTCGCGATTATTCACTTTTTAGAGTTTAACATTTATGTCCGGCCGGTGACTAAGGTCGCGTTCGGGACTTGCATAGCACCGACAGTGTAATATTGACCGAGTGCCTCGACAGTCGATGTTTGCAGCGATCGTAAACATGCGGACGACCATGGTGTGTGCACGGTTTGCGATGACGGCTGGTGGTGTTTTCCCGTTGAACGCCTCGGCTGGGCAATCCCTGGGCGCTTCCGAGAATGCAGCCGAGACCTTCTGTATGGTTCTGTGCAGTTCTGTTGAACCGTGGCACTCGGCTAGAACGACTCACCACACATTTTGCCTCTGGGAAGAAACTATCGGCGTTGGACAGAATAGTTCACGATAACGAGTGTGCACTAAGCGTGTGCACATCTTGGCAGTCCTCCGAGGGGGTGGAACTGGGTACCAAATCTGGTCCCGCAGGCTCTGATGGCTCTGGAGCGTTCGGATAAGGGCATCATAGCTTTGTAATGAAACGTCACTCCTGTGGAGGAGGGCTATCCACTGTCGTAGCAGCAATGAGGGCGGGAATCCTTGGATCCAAGCAATCCCGCTCAACGCCAATTGTCCAATACGAGGTCATGTAGTAAGTGCACCAAGACTACTAGACGAAGCCAGAACGCGCCAACGCACCCCAGATCCCGAACGGCCTGGATTATCCAGTCCCGATGGTCCACATGGTCAGCGGCGTAAAGAGGATGGCTTGTGCACCTCCTGTGGTGAGTCCCGATCTCGTTAAGCTTGCAAAGCCGGATTTCATAGACAGCTGCGTCAATTCATGCTTGCAGGACAGTTCGCAATTCGAAAGGGTATCATGCTATATTACAACGCTCCAGTAACTTACGCCACGCTCAATGAACACCATTGTTTCCAACATTAAACATTAAGGCCTGATCTTGCCAGCCTCTGGATTTCCCCTGTTGTCCTGCCAACCCCATGCCAACCTCTCCATGGTCTTGTCCTCATCCTTTCCTGGCCACAAGACTTGTCCAAGGTACACGGCACGAATGCAGAAGGCTGCCACGACAAACCACATGATGACCAATAGAATAGTCAATGCGCTCGCGACACCGTTGATAGCTTCGCTGTTTAGCACTTTTCCTGCTTGTATCGTTGCAAGAGTAAGTCCTGCATTCGGGAAAATGAAAGCCCACCAGTTTAGCGAGAACGACATCCTACGTGATCCCACTATGACGGCGATCGTTGTTATGATGAAGAACCAGTATGCGAACAGTATGATAAAGAGACCTGACATGATGCCAATGATGCGTACGATTTCGCCGTCTGGGACTACGGTGTTCGTAAAGTAGTTTTCGGCAACGAGCGACGGCGCTTGGTTTGCAAGGGAGAGGAGTCCGGCAGCAGTGTAACCTATTGCTGTTAGAATCTTCGATAGAAGTATTGATCTATTGGGAATGGACTTACCTGCTGGACCAACGGAAACGTACATTCCTGGTCGCGTGGTAGGAGAGGGTAGAGAACTCGTCATCAGGCGCTGCATGTAGAGCCCATAGAGCAGGAAGGAGACGACCCACGCGAGCCCCTGAAAGAATATCGCCCCGATGAATATCTTCCAGCTGGGATTCTCAGGTTGGGCAGGAAGTATAGTGCCAGCCAGCGTGCCTACAACCAGCAAAGGGTATATTGGGAAGATCCAAGCCGGAACGGCATCGCCAACGTTGAGGCGCTCGAGACGGAAGAAGAGCGAGTACTGGATGATGCCAACGAGGAAGGCTGCGGCACAGTACATCCAGTACGTGATCTCAAGCGCTTTGGTGAGCCATGTCCCGGTCGATGGGTTGCCGTAGATGTACGTGCAGTTGAGTATCAGGGCGACGGAGACCCAGTACGTGCCGAAGAAAAGGCCCTCGACTGGATGATGTAGCGATCCGAGGAGCTTCCGAGGGACAAGTAAGAAACGCGCGAACATGCATAGGTTGAAGATGGCGAAGAGTACGAGGTCGAAGATGAAGACGACCTTTCCGATGGTCTGTAGGCCAGTGAATTTGTTCGGGGTGTTCCCGAGAACGACAGCTAGCGCTCCTGTCGACATGGTGCATGCAAACCATGGCCTGCGGTATTGTAAGCTTGCTATCTGAATGCTCTCGGCGCGTCAACATACCATGTGAAATGTACGATGCGATCGCGCAGCCCGACCTCCGCTGGCGGCTTCTCATCCTCGCTCTCGTACGTGGTGTGCGTTCTATCGCGGAATCGCATTTTGGTGATAGCTGAAGGACGCGACTAGGTGTTGACAATGCTGGGGGCCCTGCTTCGGGTAGTCATTCCAGGACTCCTGCCATGACACCTTCTTCCCGAACATTGCGGAAAGAGTGCCGGACGCATTTCGTCATACAGGTAATTAGTGGCGATCCTGGCATCTACGCGCCTAATGAGAGAACGACGGGCAGCCCCGTAGTTAGATCTCGGGAATTCGGCACGCAAGCGTCAAGCAGAAAATGTGAGGTTGAGGCTGGGCGCACAGATAGCCGTGACGTCACGGATCCTTGTGACCGGCCTCGGCGCATCGAACACGCGTATCTATGCCAGTTCTTGCTCAGTCTGAAAATATTTGAAAGGGACGATATGAATCGGATGCCTCACGAAGATCGAGACGTGGAAGTCTCAAAGCCTGCAGATGCCATGTGATGGTGACTTTACTGGGGGTGGCGCGGCACGATCGCCCGTCTTTATTATCCTGTGGGAAATTCGATGAACAAACCATGGCATCGCGATTCCCATGTCTATTGTCTCACTTCCACACCGGTCAACACCAAGAGCCGAGAGTTATACGACCTTACCGCCGAGTAAAGTCATGTCGTAGTACAAGGTGGTCTTCCAAACTTGAGTAGCTAGAATTATCACCAATTCTCCTTGAACTGCTTCTAGTGAAATAGAGCAAGACGCGCATCATTCAATTCAAATAGCCTGCATTTTCACTTTCACCGCTGATGGGTAACCCGCCACAGCAAACTCATTGGAGTACATCGCCCATGACATAGACGCTCTAAGGCGCAATGCGTTGTGCGAGACTTGGTCGTGTGTCCACGTACAAGGCTGATAGCGCCAACGTCAAAGGAAGTAGTACTCAAAGCACATACAGATGTTAGAGATACATTCCGCCTATCACCTTACACGAGAGATGTTCTAGATAAGCCTGAGGCCTACGTTAGAAGAACAATATGCAGGTAGAAAGACGTAGCGTCGATGTAGGCTGTAGGGTATTAGGTATTGAGCAATTCCCTTGAAGAGGATGTCAACGCGACAAAGGCTGCTCTCGAATATGGTATCCGCTTACGACTAAGACGATAGCTTCGCATTGTTTGAGCCGGCTCTACCAACAGCAAGTTTCGCGCGCATTCAGACATTCCTCCAAGTCTTTGCAGTCCTTTGACCAAACCGCAGCTTCCTCTACACATATTTCCTTCACACAAAACCTACTATAAATACACTACCCATGACATTCCCGAGACTATGCAGGTACCTCAACCTGCATAAAACAAAGCTTTTGTACGCTGCCTCTGGCAATCCCTTGCCCCGAGCTTAACCGAAAAAAAAGTCAAAACGCAGGGCGTCCCACGATGCTCGCCACCAACGCCGCGCGCCAGAAGCGGGCGCGGCAACGGTACCTGCTGCAACCTCCGATCCCGACCCCGCGGTAAGACTGGAAGCCTGAAAAGCTTAGTTACCTCCATCTCCACTTGCGTCTCATGACGATCTCACACGAGGTGTTGCCATACAAGTACGACTTATTTGTTTGTTCGGAAAGCTGTACGCCCGTTTGAAAGGAACAGTGATCATGAAAGGGTATCAGGTATGAGATTGCAGTTCTAGAAATCTAGAATCTAGCTATCAGGGTACAGCGTGTGCTGGCTTTGATGCAATAGAATCCGTGTATATACACTCCAGGCGCCGTCATCGCGCCTATATATCCTGTTCCAACAAAAAAAAAGAAAAAAAGTCTTTGTGTCGCGTGTCATTAATGATCCCATCCGCATGACCGATTAATCCAAATCCCAGATGAAGCAATGAGGTGGAGTATCCTGACCATGAATGATGCGGATGAAAAAGCCTGCTATCGCAAGAAGAACGCCGTCATAATGCATATGCAATTCCATGATGCTTGGGTTGATTGACAAAGGAAAATATGGCTCGCTACACCTGCCATTACGCGGCGATGAATGCCGCCATCATGGCCAACAGACCACTTATTATGGCGTAGTTGGCCCCGCCGGTCGGGGTCGAAGCGGCATTACTCTTCTTCGCCTGCGTGCCGTCTGGTTTGAGGACGGCGTTGGTGCCAATCTGGGAGCCAATGTTTGCTACTGCAGCTTGGCTGTCGCGGACGGGAACAGAGATCCTGCCGTTGCCGTCGGCTTTGGTGGTTGTGACAGTGTTGTCAGTGACTGAGGACGCGCCGGTAATGTCGTCGTACTTCATGCCGTTCCATGTGATGTCTGTCTGCGACTCTGCGCCAGGACCTGTGAGGTAAGAGATGAAGACATCCTTGTTGGCGTGTGCAGAGCCCAGGTTAAGGTTGAATGTGAAGCTGCCCTTGTCGGATGAAGACGCATTGGCTTGTTTAGCGTTGATCATAGTGATGGACTGCAGATGATCGTTTGCGTAGGCGGCGTACGCACGGATGCGACCGTCGTACGCAGCACCTACGTTGCTGGTAGAGAGAGCTGCAATCTGCGTGGTTCCGTTGCCGTTGCCGACAATCTGTGCGACGGCGGCATGGGCGTAGTACTGCGGTCGTACGAACGAGGTTTCACGACCGTACATGGGGATGGGCTGCCAGGCACTGGCGTTGGAGTTGTCGGTCATGTGCATCTGGACCGAGGAGATACCAATGGAGGCTGCGTAGAGGAAGAAGTTGAGCGTCCAAAGGGAAGCACCGAGGGTATCACTGACGCCGGGCATGCCTATTGGCCCAACGGAGCTCATCTCGCGCAGCACGTAGGGGTGGTCTGTCTTGAGGGCGATTCCGACCTGCTTCTCCCAGTACTTGAATTGGGTGTTGGTGGCATCGAGGTCCATGAGGTCGTCGAGAGTGAGGGGGGTGGGGGTCACTCCGATGACTGCAGCATGTTAGTACAGCATGTGGATTAGGGGGAAGGAGACATACAATAGAAGTAGTCGTGCTGATTCCAGGTGGCCAGGAAGTTGTCGCCATTCCTACCCTCCATGATGCCATCGTCGACGAGTTGCGCAATCTCGAAGGTTGTCCCGATGGTGGAGGCGGTCGCAGGAGATTCAAAGAAGGATGACGGCAGGTTGGCAGCCTTGAGCACGCGCTCGTAGACGACCTCGGCGCGGTCCAGCCATTGGGAAGTGTATGTCTTTCCGTCCCAGGGCGCAGAGCGGAACGAGTTCTGGAGCCACAGGTCGGGCTCGTTGCCAATCTCGAACGAATAGAGTTTGACGTTCTTCATGCCGTCGACGGCGGCTTGCGCCAGTGCGGTGATCTTATCCTCGTAGTCGTCGTCCATGTAGGCCATGTTGAGTCCGAAGGTGACGGGCGTGTCCTTGGGAAAGCGCTCGAGCGCGGCGAAGTAGTTGGGCCCAATGATCATGGAGTCGGCCGCAATGGCACCCTGTGCCGTCGAGTCTGGGTTTGAGGTCCAGCCATAGTTTGTGTTGCTCGACTCAAAGACCATGTAGTCCTGCGTGTTTCCTCCCAAGCGAATGTGCGGCGGCGCGCCCGAGTAGTCTGCGAGGTTCTGGAGCAGCTTGACGGTGAATTGGTTGGGCTCCTCCTTGCCGGTGAAGGAGAAGAGGTTCGAGGGCTCGATGCCGAAGCCGGCATACGAGGGGTCGAGGTAGTCGGAGGCGCCATCGGGCGGGCTGTTCCCTAGCGATATGGAGATGGACTGGGCGAGGGCAATGCGCACGGCGGGTAGCGAGAGTAGGGCTAGGCTGCGGGCAGATAACGAGGGCAACATGGCGGCAGAGGGGAGCCCGAGCGGAGCAAGCGAATGCAAAGAGTAAAGAAACAGCGGAAAGTAAAGTCAACTAGCAATCAGGAAAAGCGAGCGCAGGGGAGGTTATCACAGGAAACGAGAGCGAGCGACATGCAGGACATGCAGCCAGGGTCGATGATGAGTGGACGGCGGCGGCAGCGTGTCAACGCTTTCAGACATGCGTCACTAACTGGGCCAAAAGTGGCGCCGGCCCGAGCGACGCCAGAGAGGACGCGCCAGACCACCAGACTCAACAACACATGACATCACGAGCCGCCGCGCTCCCGGACGCCGCGACACCAAGCAGCCCCGTCTGAGACGCGCGACCTCAAACGCTGCGGTGGGTCGCTGGCCATGGCTGCTGGCATGGCATCCCACGCTGCTCGCTCGTCCACCCAGCAGCGTTGCGCGTTGTGCTGGGAAAAGAGGATTTACGCGTCAGCTCTTCCGACCAAGTGTCCGTTTCTAATTGTGGTGGCTGCCTCAGATCTGCACCCACGCCAATCTGAGCGGCTACCGAACCCTTAGCCACGAATGATCCGCCGCAGGAGGCTCAATAAGCCTTGTTTCGCCATGGCTCCGAATCCGCATCATGATCCTTCCTCGATCCTGTGCCGTCTTACCCTCGAGCCAGGCCTCGTCATGGCCTTCCACCTCGATCAAGGGAAAGACGTGGATCCTCGCGGCAGCTTGACCACCTTGGAGCGCGCGGCACGCCTCCTACGCACTCGACGCCCCGACGCACTGCGTTTGGGTAATCGCATTTCGATAATTGCACCCGTGTTCCGTCCACAGCCACAGCCCAACCCCTGCACCCGTTCGCTGCCTCCATATTGGCCCGTTGAGACGACGGCTCTTCCAAACCGGAATGCTTGATTTATTGCCCAGCCTCTTCCAGCTCTCCACCCCAGCCCCTTCGTCACAGCCGTATGCTTTCACCTACGTCTTCCATCTGTCGTCGCGCTGGAGAAAAGCTTTTCGATAGCACGTGTGCTAGCCCAAAGTTTGACACAACTAGCATCGTCTGCCATCATCTAGCTCTCTGCACCTCCTATAATAGCATCGGGTCTCGAGCAGGTCTACCGGCCATTCTCGTCCACCGTTGCCCACCACCTCTTGGCTCCAGCCGCCGCATCCCGAAACCCTGTGTTCCAACCTCAGCCCAAACTGACGCCATACTCGGTGTACACTTGCAGCTGATAAAACGGATCTCGCGGTCTTTGTCAATGTACGTTTATGCCAATCAGGATGCTCACAACACACATGTTGGGGTAGACGTCGCTTGCGACGACGGTCAAAATTCCCCGCGCTGCGCAGTGTCGTTCCACCCTTGCACATACAGCACACTACTGGAATACGGCATCTAGCTGCGACTACCAGATGACTATTATACGCACTCATGCAGGGAACTCAACTCCGCCCTTCTGATCAAGGAACTTGGTTGCATGGCCTGGTCGGAAGTGCCGTAGTTCCGACACGGCATTGATCGGGATGACGTATAGAGAGCACTGACAGTGAAGGAACTACATCGTGAATCAAACCTAGACAGCTTTACATATGTCATAGAGCCGATTAGCTTTGGAGCATCTAACGTCGTTGCACACTACTACACACTTTTGCACAAGCATGCAAACACCTCATACAAGAAGAAAACTAAACATGTCTAGAGCCTACATTGATGTTAGGTCACCTACTTTGCATGTTTTTATCTTAATGTAGGCTCTACAGTGTTCGGATTTTTCCTTGAATAACGTGCTGACGTGTTCCAACGTCCAAGTAGAATGAGTATGAACAATGACTCAATCTTACAAGAAATGTAAACTCTACTACGAACTCTCGTCTGTCAAAGTTTGCCTTCCTCTCACAACTTGCCCATCATCAGGTTTCCAATCATCTCCCGCCCGGTAACCACCGTAGTCCTCCACAACGTTGGGAAATCCAACGTACTCGAAAAGGCTATTATCCACCAGTTAGTCTTGAACTGAACAGTAAACTACGGTTTGAGTGGTAAAGGAGAGAGAGACTTACTATCAGCATACCCAAACCCAAGCATAGGCGGAATCCATCCCCTCGCATACTCCAACGCAAAGCATTCACCCTCCATCTTGTACTGCTTCACATCACCCCTAGTAAGATGATGCACACTCCCCTGCGGATACCTCTCAGCCCCATAAACGCCCTTTCCAGGCGCATAAGCCACCTGCTCGCCCTTGAGAATATGGAAATAGTCATCCGCGGTATGCCGTCCCGTATGCCCCTCTGTTCCAATCGCAGTACCAAAAACAATTAGATACTCAGTAATGGACGCGTGGATAATGTACATGGCGCCCATGGCTCCACCTGCGTTGTTGAAGATCCATTCTTCGTCGAGGTTGATGTGGGGCCCGTGGATTGCGGAGAGGGAAGTGACGATGTGGGAGACGACGGATGCTGTGTCGTTGCCGTGTAGGGCAATGGCTTCTTGAGATAGGGTGTGTAGGCCGGAAGGCGTGAAGATGTAGAACTTCTCCAGGTGTGAGTCTAGCGTGTACATCAAGGTGGTTAGGACACCGAGGATGGCGCCGAGGGCGAAGAGGATGCGCATTTTGGTGTTATCGTCTTCCTCTATCGGAACGTATTAACACGAGAAGTAGAAACCGAAGGAGTGACCCAATCCAATCATGGACCGTTTGCGAAAAGAGTGTGTTTTGTTATTTTTGTGGCACTCTGCACTTTGCGAGGATCGTGAGGTTTTTCTTCATTATCAAGACGCACGTGCCAGCCGGAATAGGAGAAGTCCGAGACCCCGGATCGCCAGCTCATCTAAGATGGAGGGTGGGCTGTTGTTTGCTGAAAGGCTTCCGTCTTCCGAACGGGTATAATCGAATTTTGGCTAGCCCGAATACACGCTCACATTGTACAAGAAAAAAAATCAAACAACTCTGAAGACTACATCAAGACAAAAACAGGCGAAGTAGGTGATCTAACATCAACGTAGCCTCTAGAGAGTTCAGTTTTCCCTAGGTTAACGTACGTTGGTAATCGTATTTCGAGCAGACGGCCATTGTAAAGGGGTATATGAATATTTCTACAACCAGAAAGCTGTCTACAAAATCGAGAGTATTACCTCCTCTTCCACCCCCATCATTACCCTTTGAAATGATACGAAATGTGCGATAAATGACGATGCCGCAACCTTTTACCATCCCAGACAACGCCCCAGCCCATGCAGAACGTCGTGAATCTCATGCTATACGCCATTACATAACCAATATACCACAACACCGTGTGCACTAAGAAGGACTATCTTTCGCATTACCACCCCATACAAGAAGGAAACCTGAACAGGTCTGGAGCCTACATCGACGTTGGGTCACCTACTTTGGATATATTCAAGTTGATGTAGGCTGCGGACCTGTTCAGTTTCTCTTGACGTCTTACCACCCCCCGATGAAGGTGATGAAGCCATCGACCATGTCAATCCAATCCTGGCCATTGAGCGTACCAGCTTGCCTCTTCTCCCACAGCACATTCACCATCCTGCCCAAGCGAAGTCTCGCCTGCTCTCCCGCCTCGCTGGTGCCATCGTTCCTAACGAGCTGCACTTTCCCACCAGCAAACTTCTCACTGAGATCGATCTTGAAGCTCGCGTCACCGTCTGGCGGGCAGTAGAAGTCGTCTTGCGATGCTGGCGCAGGCCCGATAACACCCGGGGCGAGCTGCACAAGATGCCCGTGAATGAGCATGCTTTGTGTGTGGCTCCGTCTCGGCTTGAAAAGCGCGCCACGCACTGAAAAGCTGACGAGCCGCAAGAGCCCTGCGCCATCGCCCAGCCTAATGATCCAGTCTCGGAAGGCTTCGTACATCATCTTGAACTCGACTTTTATGACCCAGAGGTTGTAGCTGTAGAAGATGGCGAGCGCTTCGGAGCGGACGAGGCGCGATACGGAAGCGAGGGCGTGCTGCATTTGGCCGTCGAAGGTAGAGATGCAGTATACGAGGGGCTTATCGATGACGAGATTCTCGCAGTTTCGGTAGATTTGGTGACGGATCTCGGGCGGGAGGGTGACGAAGGTGGGCGGGGCGGGAGTCGTGTCTTCGGCGGGAGTTGTGTGTGTTTCTTGGATAGACGTAACCTGGACATCTTCCATGTGAACAATCTCAGCCTCCTCTTTGTGAGAGGCAATATGTGCGGCCCAATCCTTCTGGACGTCGTTGGACCCATCGAGTTGGACACGGTTCAGGCTGTGATTTCTGGAGTGGGAGGGCGAGAGCGCGTAGTCGTCCATGTGCTCATCGTCGTCGGGCCTTTCTTCTGCATACAGTTGCAGTCCTTCCAGGCGGGTGGCATCGGGCAGGCTCGACACGCCATAGGGCTGCGAGTGCTCAGGCGTCGATGGGAACGAGGTAGCCTGACTCTCGAAGCCGTGGCAGTCGTCATGCTCGCTGCCGTCGCCCAGGAGATCCGTATCATCCGAGTCGGTGTCTGTGTCGGAGCCTATGTCTATATCCACGTTGAGTCTGTATCTCGGGATCTTGGGCGGCAGCTGATGCGTGGGCGAGCTGGGCGAAGGCAGCTGGGTCGCGGATCGTTTGCTTGATGTGCGTACGATAGTGCCCTTCTGGGCCATGTTTCTCCCTCTCCGCTGGCCGGCCGCGCTGGCCTCGCTGTTTGAACTCAGCTCCGGCGCGCCGTCACAGTAGCCGCACGGGGGTGTCTGCACGCTAGTATCCAGAGGCTGCAGTTTGGGAGAGCGCGCTTTCATGGCTTCGGCATCGTCGGGGGGCGTCTGGCCCGTGACCGAGTATCGGCGCTGGGTAACCATGGTATATGGCGGAATATGGGCGGGAGCGGGAATGCGAAGGGGGGAACTTGGTGCGAGGGCGAGGGATTACGTGGTGTTGGGGTGGCAGGCTCCAGCAAAACCTCTGCGCGCGGATGTGCTGGCAGGCTGCACGATGACCGTCTGCAGGCCCTCGACGCGTGCAATGGGCAATGGGCG